TGACTGACACACTCCATGTTGTTTTGGGTCCCAAAATTCACTTTAGGCACTTGAAGGACAGTAACACAATTTTACTTGTCTTTTCTCAAATCCATTCAAATCTTCCAAATGGATGCATAATTAGTGGGAAAAATCAAGGACGGGGTTAGGGTCAGGCTTACACAAATGAAGACCTAAATGAAGATGTGTGTATATTGCAACATTACTAATTATCGTCTTTTTTTCTTGTTAGTTTATTTGCATATATGCTGTTACTTATATTATGACAAATTGAAATACAGTTGGTTCTTTAAAATGTTTACCAAAGGAGTATTATTACCACTCACATGTTATCTACAATAATATCTTGCCAACTTTTAAATTAGTTGAGTGATACTTGCAAAATCAGTTTAATATCTAAAATTATATGATACCCAATTTAATAGGTAAGCTTGTGGTTATTTAAGCTTTCCAAGGGGAAAATGGAGAATCCTTTGCTACAGTTGTGGAGAGCAGTGTTTTAACTTATTATTTTTTTAATACATGATGTTTCCAATGATCAGGGAAGGCAACAGATACGTGTTTAAATACAGATAAAGATCAAACAGCTAATCCTGAGGACAGCAGTGACTCCCCTGGCTCCCTACTCTCCATGCCTTCTCCAAAAAGCTGCCGAGATTAGCACAGAACACTTCTCTGCCGACATTAGTGCTGTAAGCGTCCTTGCCTACCCGCCCATTGTCTGACATTTTGGCTTAGTGGACCACATCTGCCTGCTAAGAGGACAACTGTGCATATCCTCTGGGCGTCAGGATGAAGGGCTCTGACAGGTCACACATGCTGGCTACTCCACCTGCAGACAGAGTGGAGAGTGGACTTGAGTCCACTTCTTCACGATTTTGTTAATAGATACTATTCCTACACGATTTCAAATTTCAAGCTTCAACATTTTCTTACGTTGTTGACCATTTCTTTCTTTCTTTCTTTCTTTTTTTTGGCTCAGTTATGAAGCTCTCTTTCAATCACTCTCCACATTTTATATGCCATCACTTTTACCAAATTTAAAGACGTTATTCATGTGACTGGTACAAAATATTCTATTCAAAGTTAATTTTCATTTCCTTCTGGCACAGAGAGATCATTTAAAAGTTACCCTTTTAAGTCCCTATCAAAATACCTTGTTGTTATACTAAGAATTTTAGAGAAACAATTTTTAAAGAATTGCCTTGAAGCACCTTAATATCACATGTATCTTTGAGTGCATGCTTGAAAAGTTTCAAAAATAGCCAAAGACTTAATGTCCTGTGTCATCGATGGACTCTATTAACCTTCTGATCGCAGCTCTTGTTTCAATCATACGACAATACTACAAGATGAACCTCAAGGTACTGAGACGTGATAGCAGCACAATGACTACGACAAGAATTCAAGCAAAAATGTACAGACATTATTTCTATGAGTGTCCTAAAGTATTTCGTCACTTCAGATTACCCTCAAAGAAAATAAACATAAAAATAACCAAAGCTAATCAGATACTTTTGGAATTATTCACAGCTGCAACAAGTGCATTTCCCAAGTTGCTACTGATTGCGATGTACATTTAAGTGAAAAGAACATCGGCCTCTATAGTAGTTTCAGTCGCAGCAAACGGTAAAACGGTTTCTAACCAACAGATTTCCTCATACAGGTTGCATGTCTTACGTCTTTAAAATCAGTTATGTCTTTGGTCTCAAGTGTCTTCCTCCAGCGTACACGTACATCCTAAGTCAGCTAATTATGTTTTGTATCACAAGCTGACCTAATGCTGGTCTGAAAAGATGGGATATTTACTGTATCTGCAGCAGTTAGAAAATTCTTTCTGGCACAGGCCAAGCTAACTTACCACAAAAGTGACCGTTATCACAAAAGCTGGGAGTTACAGAAAAATAGAACATTCTATATTTTGAAGATATTCATCAAAAAATGATGGCAAACAAATAATACAATCTAAGCATAGTCCGTTATTTCAGAATCAAATAGAAATAGAAATACAAAAGACAAACTTTACAAAACATATTGTTCTATCAACTGCTCCAGAAAAGACAAATTCCTCAAAAAATTCTGGGTAAATTCATGTGCGGACTTCAAAGACAATGATGTTAAGTGCTGAGAACACCGCTGGCACATTTCAATATCTAACAGAGAAAAACTGCAGATAGACGTGGATATTTACAAATATTTCCAATAGAGACTTAGACGAAAATATTTTAATCTGGATTCTAATCATAACTGGAAAATGAGCCAAGCTTGTGCCTTTGGCCCAGAGGTTCTATTTGAGAATGTTGAGGTCTCACACTGGAGTGTGCGAGTGTGAGCTCCCATGTGCTGGTAAGGCACCAGCGGCCAACTCAAGGAGGTAAGACTCAGATGCAAGACCTGACTCCTGTGTTACCGTTAATGCATGTGGAAAACAAACCAGCAGGTAGAAGCTCTCTCCATCTATTAATAATAAAATCTTTTTAATTAAAAAATGAATAATGAATGCAGGAGATATACAACTGTAATCTATTTTATTAAGTTTAAATAGGCATGCCAAAGACAAATAGGGTCAATTTAATATGTGAAATTACTTAGCCTGATCCTTAACATGTGAATAATGCTCTTTTCTTTAAATTTCTAAATTGTTTTTTTCAAGGGACTGGCGCACAATGGCCCCAGCGGCTAAATCCTCGCTTTGCATCTGCTAGGATCAGAAATGGACACCAGTTTGTGTCCTGGCTGCTCCACTTCCCACCCAGCTCCAGGCTTGTAGCCTTGGGACCCTGCACCAACGTGGGAGACCTGAAGGAAGCTCCTGCCCTTGCCTTTGGATTGGCTCATCTCCAACTGTCAAGGCTCCTCGGGGGCGTAAGCTAGTGGACGGATGCTCTTCCTCTCTATCTCTCCTCTTCTCTGTAAATGACATTCCAATAAAAATAAATAAATCTCGAAAAAACCAAAAGAACATGCAAATCTCTCTCTTTCTCTGTCTCTCCCTCATCTCTATGACTCAACTAAATCAATCTTTAATACACACACACATATGTAATTGAATATCAGATTTTGGAATTATTAAACATGAATTTATTTTTTCTTCCATTGGATTACTCTAAAAGGCAACATAATTGTTGAAACTCCAAGCAAAATAATCAAAATCTGACCACAGATTAATTTTCACTACCAAAACTACAGCCTTCAGATTTACAGCCTCCTATTTTATATCTAAAATTTGGCCACACGTACACCTATAAAGCAGGCAAATTGTTTCACCAATTGCTTATTCTTTCTCCTACTGAAATTGTTGCTTTATAAGTTAGCTCTTAGGCAAAACACTTAAAAAAAGGAACAAACATAAAATTAAACAATTTCTGAGAGCTGGGAAACATGCTAGCATATGATAAATAGCTCGGATAATGTAAATGGAAGTTCAATAGTTGAGATGATAAGATGGTATTTCAAAGCAAGCACAGATCCTATTTGAGAAGAAACCTATTTTAATTTTGAAAGAGATAAATTTTTAAAGCAGTTGTGGTAAAGTCAATTGATAAGGAAGATATTTGTAGTGAGTGGAATTATGCCTCAGTTTGCAGCCAGTAGAAACACCAGCTTATTTGCCCACATATATCTAATATCTAATATATCTTTGCTTCATGATTATTTTGTGGATACCAAATGAACAAAACTTCAGCCTTAGAGTATTACTTCAAATTAATATATTTATATGTCCATATTTCACGTATTACTTACCTTATTTATGATATCAGCAAAATAGCATTAATTTCTACTGTACCATGTCAGATTAGAATGACACATTGAAGCATTACAGAACAAACCTCAACTATTTAGAAAGTAGACTCGATAGAAAGAAAAAATAAATTCAACTTGAAACTGAAACAGATCATTTGATTAACCAAAATAAACTAACTCACCACAGAATTCAGGTATACATAAGGCACCAGCATAAATAACTGTGTTTATATTGCTTGATTTCATCAAAGGGACTCTGGTAGTATGCAATATTGCACCTTGCATCCTTTGAAAAATCCTGTGTGTCATTTATGATTATTTGAAATAATACTTTCTTCTATTATATTTGAAAACATATATAACTTTTAAATTTTCAACTTCTCGGCAAGTGAAAATGTACAAAGATAATGTAGCCATAAATTTCACAATAAAACTATGAATCACATTTTGAAAGGAAAGCATACTGTAAGATCACTCTTCAAAACTGAAATCTGGAACTGGAGTAAGACTACAAATAATGTTGATGAGATTTCTACATATGTAACTCCATAAATGTAGTCACTTGTTCATGACTGTTAATGAGAATCTTTCTAAGGCATTACAAACTCGTCATTAACAATGGTAAAGTGACTCAATGATTTATTTATGTAACAACATGAAATATTCTTTCAAATTACTGATTTGGCAATACTTTCCAGAAGTCAATGACTTCGAGAATATGAAAGTAAATGCAAATATTTTAAGATATTAAGCAGTGGTCACTTCAGATTCATTATCTGAGTCTACCATGAATTCTTTATAGTTATTTCAGTAAGCAATTACAGGATCTATGTCACTTGAATTATTCTGTATAAACTGAAACCATTTTCAATTAGGAAGAAGTGAGATAACATCACAGCAGGTTTGGCACACACAAGTCCTTCAGTTCCACTCCAGGTGCTGCGCACTGAGTGGATTTGGCCCAACAGACTGCATTGGGCACCCTGTATCCACGATTGGGAAGCCATACAGTTCAATGCCAAAAGCTATATTAAATTTTGAGTCATAGTTTGGCCAGCTTTATTCCCATAAGTGCATATCAGAATTCAGAATTCTGTTCATGTAAATTTCCATACAGTGCTGCTTACTGGCATAATTAAATCTGGTTTCTTTTTAAACATTTTCTGACTTAATGTTACAGTCTGAAATGAAAGGCGTCAGTTGAGAATAGGAAAGGACTGAGGTAGGCCGGCACTTCCAGAACAACTTTCACCTACCTTTAAAGAAGCAGTCTTCATTGTGAACAATGGTGAGCTTCTGCTTTTTCAGGCAAGCGGCTCGGTGCACTTCACAGTGGTTTTCATAGAACTCTCCGTCAGAGGCACACACAGGCTTGTAGTGCCGTTTGCAAAGGTCCATGCAGGTGCACTCGGCTTGGCCAGTCACTCTGCTGACCACACAGTGCCTTCCCAAACCACAGTACTTATTTTCACAAGATCCGAAGGGGTCATCCTCAATGAGAAACCCTGAAGATGAAGAAAAACAGAATATCATTCTGTTCATATGTCTACAGAACTCAGGCAACTCAAAGCATCAAAGGAAACACTTGTTCAACACAGTTCCGGTAGCATCGGATTCATCAACAGTATTCATCCAATATCAGCATTGTTTCAATAGGAAGGGTTGCATGCAGACCCACAGATCGGGCTTTTTCTAAAACAACATTCGTGCCAGGCAGCCCCATTCTCTTGAACTCTGTTCTCCCCTCTCAGGTTAGTGGAATGTTTAAGGAAATAAACTATGTCTACACAATGGCACCGCTGCGATTGAGAAGACAGGTGCTGATACGGCGCTCTGTTGTATCTCCGGTAATTGCAAACTTCAGGCACTTCAAAAATCTGTACCTGTTTATTTTCTATAAAATGAGGGCAATCTTACATCCTCAAAGCACTGTGAAGGCAAAAGGGGTTGGCATTTAATAAATCATTCAAAGGACACAAAACTGTAAATAGAAACAATTTAGAAAATCGGATTCAGTAGTAACTTTGTGTTAACATTTAGTCATGTGTTTCTAAATGGAATCTGAATTAATAACATTAAAATTATACCAAAGACCAACACTATCAACTGCTTTTGTGAAAAACAAATAATAACTGCAAGATTTACTGATGTATTCCAATGATTAAGAAAGCTCTGAATGAAGTTCAACCAAAAAAGAACATAGAATTTGAGGGACAAAAGTGAGGTTATCTGAAAGAACAGACACCAGGTAGTTTCTTTAAACGTAGTTATAAATTTTGATTACATATATAAGTATATGTAATCCACTAAATAGTTCTTGAACTTTGGGCTGTATTGGAAAGTCAAAGTGATGTTGTTTGCTTCTAGCTGTTCTGTTTCTGATTCAGGATACCTGGCTTTCAGCCCATAGTTCTTTTGGGAACAAAGACCCAGCTAATGAGTATCACAAGCCACAGGACAACACTTTCCTGCCTCTGATAGGAGATCTTAGCGCTTCGTCTGAGCAAGTAAAATAGTCAGGAAAATTGAGACAAGTAATCATGAAACAATTTTCAGATAGATTTGAAAAGAGATCTTTCAAAGATAAGAACCATAGAAGATAATAATATTTTGAAGATAGTGGGAAAAGACATCGGAAAATCAGCAAAATTTATTATGTGGATTGACAGGATATTGGATACATTTTCTACTTTACCAATGTTGGTTTTAATAGTCAGTGTATTAAATTAGATAGGAAGGACATCATTAGTCTGAATACGTATGTGTGTGTATACATATGTGTGTATATAATCATTTATATATATATATATATATATGAATTTGTAGCATTTTGATTTTTCACAAGTTGCTGAGGTTCAGCCAAGCACTGGCATATCAGTGATCAGACAAAACCCATTTACAAATACTGCATCTACAAGGAGAGCGAATGCCTCATTACGCCATGTCCTAGTATGGCAAAAATCCACCTGCACCCAATCAGTGGACGTCTTCCTTTTTGTTTGTGAATCAATCCATTCTTGTTCTTGATTCAGACTTCCGGGCAGGGCCATTCTGAATCGCTCTTCATTCCAAATGCTGACTAATACATTTAGTTAACTTGTTAATGTAAATGTTTTTAAATCTAATTTATATAATTGCTTTTTTTAAACAAATGAAAACATTGAAGGTCAGAGTCCAGAATTATGTAAATGATGATTATCAAATAATGACTGATTTGAATGTAGAAAAAATATCTACTTAACCTTGTATGACACATATGTAGATTATCCAATCAATTCATTTAGAGTCCACAACCAAGCTGTTATTATAACACAGAAACTGCGGTAATAATAATAATATAGAATTTGATATTTTCTGAATTCACATAATCAGTTAATATTTGCCAAAATAGTATTTTTATTTATTTTCTTATTACCATAGAAGGAGTTGGGTCTATATTTTAGTTATGACTTTAGGTCGTGGTTTGAATCTGTTGAATCCCCTTGCCTTGGGGAAATGTCTGATATAACATAGGGTCACAGTGAGAGTACAAGAGTACCTCAAACAATTTTCCTAAACATTGAATGAAAAGATACATTTATTTTGGAGAAAAAAATATTTTGAAATACACAGATAGTTTTTCTACAACATGGCTCTTCCAGATTCATCATATCTGAGTTGGCAAGTATACGCCAAGCCTCATGGCTTAGACATATCCTGGCTGACAGTAATTACTCATGACTAATGCTAAACTTTAAGTTGAGAATAAACCAAATGAACATGATCAGTATGTCAAAGACTTGTTTCAAATATGCTCAGTTATTTAATATATTAAAGGAATTTTAATCAATAAGAGGTTCCTGCTGGCTTATACTTGACAAAATAGAATTTACCTCAAAAACTTGGCTATTTATTTCAGAAGTACACCATTTATAATTTCTATCCCTTTAGAGAACTACAAAGCTGTTTTAACACAAATCCAACATATGACAGCATAAATATCCCGAGCTCTTTTTTTGTTGTTGTAGTGATGGCCTTTTTAGATTTTCAATCTTAATGTAATTCTCATTGGGGATGTATAGAAATCCTACCATCTCTCTCTGTCTTCCTATTTTATTATTTAGCTGGCTGTCCATTCTTGTTACACTTTTTATGTACATACTTAACATAAAGTTGATCAACATTACTTCCAAACCTTTATTTTTCTGTGTAAGGTGGTGTTAAGTCAAAGAATCAACACATTTTCTTCAAGTGCCCTATAGGGGGCAGAACATGATTTGGACAAAGGACATGATTAATATCAACTACAATCTCACAATCTACCAAGTCACAGCTGCAGTTTTCTTGGAAAATGAGTTAGTTCAGAAGGGTATATAAGCAGGGTATACAACACACACTGACATTCTATTTAAAACAACAATATTAGTGAGAGGGAAGAATCACAGTTTGATAGGTACTTTTAATATTGTAGAACATAATGATTGATCTTTTTTAAAAAATGATTTGTCTATTTTTATGTATAAGGCAGACCTATATGGAGAAGGCGAGACAGAGAAGGTCTATCTGCTGGCTGGCTCTGCGGTGTTCGCAATGGCTGGAGCTCCTCCACTTTTGATCCCGCTCCCCATTCACGGCCTGGGAAAGCAGAGGAGGACGGCTAACATCCTTGGGCCCCCACACCCATGGGATAGAGCTGGCAGAGGCTCCTGGCTCCTGGCTCCTAGCTTCAGCTTGGCTCAGCTTTGGGGCTCAGCTTTGGTCACTGGGGCCATTTGGACTGTGTCCAATGGATGAGTAAATTAGGATAAAATAATAAAACATAGGATAGAAAATACAAAACAGCATGGATATCACTTTCAGAATTCCTTAGTCCAAATAAAAGAAGAACCAGATGGAGGCAGAGCAAAAACAGATGGTAGGAAACAATTAATAAAATTATTAAAATACTTCCCAGAACTGATGCACATGCACTGCCAAACTGAGAGTGATCACCCAGTGTCCAATAAAGTGAAGTAGGGTAGCTCATGGTATGACATGTTGTGAAATTTAAAAATAGTAAGGACAAAATTATTTTTCTAGCAGCTTCAGAAGAGAATACTAAAATGTTCGGTCTCACAAAATGAATTAGGGATTAAAATCAGTTCTCTTTTCTCAGCTTCAATGGTGGAAGCACGCAGGAGACAAATGTATAGCAAATTTGGAAGGCTAAGGACCTGTGTTGGTTTCTCTGACTCTCATCTCCCCACACTCTGCTCCTACCTCCACCGTACTCTTCTCTGTGTAAAGATATTTACACGTTGACATATTCCTGAAAAGGCAAATAGGCAATGGTAAGTGTGGAAGCAACGATGCAGATCTCACCTTGTCCTTCTAGGTCTGCTGTAATTCTTAGCAGCTTATGTACACTAAAGTCTTTTTCAATTGCCCAACTTGTTGCAAAATACACATACCATAAGGTTTATCAACATGACGATTCCACTAAAGCCAACTTACCATTCTACCAAAGTGCCCAGTTTCCTCATGGCCTTGCACTCACAGAAGGCTCATGTGATGTGTGGTCCACAGCCCTTCTCTGCACCTCTGCCTGCCTCCCCATCTCTATTACAATAAAGTCACTGTTCTTCATTTCCTCCAGCCATCGCTACAATGGCACTTTTATAAAATCTCTGTATTTGCTGCATGACATCTAAATGAAGTTGAGATTAGAGCCACTTGTTTAAATATTTGCATTACATCCATATCTCCATAAACCTATGATGTCTTGATTCAGCAACGGAACCATCCAAACTTGGCAAAGGATCTCGTAAAATTCATAATAAGTAAATAAGTGTCTGATTTGTTAAATTTATATTGTTTGCAAAAAATGATCAAAATGCATCATGCAGTTGCATTGCAACAGGAAAAACTTAATTATGCAAACACAGATGCATACATAAACATACTCCACACATACAAAGCATTTCAAAAATTGTGTGTGGCTGCATTTATATACATACTCTCAGTAAAAATATCTTTAAAAGTCTCGCAAAAATTTTGCTATGAGAAATATTGAAAAGGGAAACATGTCATGCAGAACACTGGCATACATCATCACTTACTGTATAATGATTTATTTGAGTAGGACAGCTTTTGGCTAACTGGAAGGGTACAATAGTAATGTTTAATAGTATTATGCTGGGGCCCAGAGCAATGGCCTAGTGGCTAAATTCTTGTCTTCCATGTGCCAGGATCCATATGTGCACTGATTCTTATCCCAGCTGCTCCACCTCCCATCCAGCTCTCTGCCTGTGGCCTGGGCTTAGAGGACGGCCCAAAGCCTTGGGATCCTGCACCCAAGTGGGAGAACTGGAAGAAGCTCTTGGCTCCTGGCTTTGAATCAGCTCAGTTCTGGCTGAGAATCAGCCCATCCTGGCAACTTGGGGAGTGAACCAGCAGACAGAAGATCCTTCTCTCTATATCTCCCTCTCTCCGTTATCTGCCTTTTCAATAAAAATAAGTAAATCTTTAAAAACTGTTTATTAAATAA